ATATACTAGAGCAGTGTTTTTCAACCTGTGGGTCGCGACCCCCAAGGGGGTCCCAAAGCCTTACACGGGGGGTCGCGGGTGAAAGAAAAAGACAAGTGTTTGTAGGTCCTACACTACAATAAAAAAATCTAGAATTTCAGTGAGAAGGCTGTGCCTGTTTATTTTACAGTACAATTGGTTTTTCGATCGATATTTAAAGAAAGAAAATTAAATACGTAGTTTTTAGAATCACTGATATAGTTTTAATATGGCCCTGGGGGGTCGCCAGAATTTTTTAACTTGTAAAGGGGTCGCGTATTCAAGAAGGTTGAAAAACACTGCTCTAGTCTAACATCTTTTCTTTGTATATACTGTCTAAATAATTTCTACTATTTTTTCTCTTTCTATTTCAAACTGTATAATTTGTTTGATTTGCTTGTTTCATTATTGATTCTTCACTCATCTCTGTTCTGTCGAAAATGATAACAGGTATGTAGATGACTGTATAATTACACTGAATTCCTTTTATGTATTAAAGATATTTTGATTTGACTTTTGACTAAGATCTCCTATATGTGCTAATTGGAAACTACACCAGTATAACAAGTCCTGTTAATAAACAAGACAAGATACAAGTAGACAAGGATACAAACAGATTTTACACAAGTAAAGTCATAGAAGTAGAAAGAATTAGTTTACTTTGAATTTATTTATACAGAAGAAACTTTTTTTTTACTTTTCTTTTGATACAAGGTACAATACACAGATCCGATAATGTTCGTCTCTTCGTGAATGTTTCTTGGATATTAGGATCATGTGATCTTTGAGTTTTAACTAATCACGTGCTCTCTGTAAATGACGTTATGTCTCCCCTGAAAGTTTTGTCATCTGGGGCCATATTCTGGTTACCGTCTCTGGTCTCTCACAAGACGGCCTCTGATTGGCTAATCCAAATGACTAGCCAATCAGCGACCGGCTTGTGAGAGACGAGAGACCAGAGACGGTGGAACGTTCCTAATCTGCAATGGGATTTATCGACATTGATAGAGAACAATGTCATTATTCGAATCCATGATAAAATTTGTAGTCTGGATCGGATCCCACGTTGAGATGTTGACATTTTATCGTACCTTTCTCTGTATCCAACTAAGATGTTCTGAAAACTGTTGCAATTAATAAAATGATAACAGCTTTTACAATTTTTATCAAGTACGAGTATACTTTAATTTAATTTATTTTGATCAAATTCTATTTGTATCTGTGTCCACATGGACATTGTTTATTAATAGGACTTATTATACAGTATATTATCATATATATTATGTTCCTTTATATGAATTATATCCTTTATACCAAATTATTTATTTCTAGTTTCGTCAATTATCTTATGTATCCATTCATCTAATAATCTTTTAAAATAACCGTTAAACAAAAATATTTTTACTATTTGTTGTGTTTCTGTTTCCTGGTTGTCTATTTTACTAGTTCTACCTTTAATTTTATCTATATATATTTTACATATACAGTAGATCCCCCTATAAGACGGTAGATACGTTCCGTTCTTTATGAATCAATTTTGTAGGAATCATAGTTTACGGACTACGGCTGTTTGAAAGGTTTTCTTTCATAAAATTAATCGATTCTAGACTAATTCGACTCAACATTTCCAAAATACGTATATTTTTTTGNCATCTAATATACAGTACAGTACAGTGCGTAGTTCTTACAGAATATTTCAGTGCTACGAGTATGTCTACGGAAGGTAGTATAAATTCACCGCCCGTTAAATTTTTAACGCCAACTACAGTTTGAGAAACGCCGAACTATTGATAGACCACCCGTCATCCGCCGGGTCACTTACAACAATTTTTTACCAACAAGAGACACCGTAATAGCTGCATGGGCGTAGCGAGGGGGGCCTGGGTGGGCACGGCCCCCTCCAGGGAACTGGTGCCCCCCAGAAAATCAGAGCCGAAAAAGTGTAAAGCTAAAAATTTTGAATACTAAAAAAATAAAAAATAAAAAAATCAACGGCTCGCTCGGTGCCCAATGTTGTAATTAAAGAAAGTTTCATATTTCATGTGTTTGTAAGTTATTGTCAATTATCATGGAATTTTCATTTTAATGAACAATAATTTGAAATAATTCAATTTTGTGTCAGGTTGGCCTCTACTAGGCCCCCGTAACAAAACCCTGGCTACGCCCACGAATAGCTGATAGCAGCGTTTTATAGAAGCTTAACTCCTTCACCCGTCTCCTTTTTTTCAGAT